GTTTGGGGAACAGGATTTTCAAAATATGTACCATATCACCAACTAATATTACCTAGATTTAAAAAAAATGTACCTGCTTTCATTGCAGGAAAAAATAGAGAAAAAAAACAAGCATTAAAAAATGCAGTGCAACTTTCAATTTAGAATACTTCAAATAGTTCATACAGCATTTGTATTTCTTGCCATAATCAAACACAAATAAACTCATAATGAAACTAAATGCTAAGTAATTGATTGTAAAACGTAGATATTATATCATATTGAAAGAATTTATATCTTCTGAAATAGTATCAGGATTACATCCTTCAAAAAATTACCTCTCCAATGTCATACCTTAATTATACCTTGAAAATGGTATCTTAATTAAAGTTAATTGTTTTCTGAACTAAATTTACCATTTCACTTGAAACTACATTTAATCATTTATTTCTTTTCAACAGTAAGTGAAATTATGTACTTCCTCTCCCATCTTATCATACCATTAAATTTTGCAGCATTTCTCTTTTATTGTTGTTCATCAATTGAATTAATGAACTGTGAAATCAGTTATTATTCTGAGTACATAGAAATTATAATTTTTAAATCTATGCCTTCTTTAACCCATACAAAGCTGGAAAACATTTTTTTCATATGTCTTTCAGAATAGATTAAATAATTGACAACAACAAGAAAATAATTGGTACTCAGTAAGGAAATCCAAGTCACAAGCTGTACATGTGAATCCAACAGAGGCATTGTACTGTATATGGCAAATTACAAGTAAATGGTATTGAAAGCACTGTGTCAGGAAGAATCTGTCCTCTGGGTCTTTCCCAACATAATTAGTTTCATGTAAAATGACTGTTTTTCAAGTTTATTATATATGAATTTAATATACCAAATAGATAGAATACAGGAAATGATAAGTGCAAAAATTTCAAAAGATTTATATCTCTCTAGTGAACACAAAAATAGCCTATTCTCCATTCTTCTCAGTTTCCACAAGATGTGTAATATGCTGACTTTTCCCACAAGTAAATTGATTAACTGTTTTGTGAAGATTTTTTACTCTCATTTTCTTTCTTCTAAAAATGAAGGGACATGACTGAGCTTATAAAATTAAAGTGTGTGTGAAAATGATATTTTTTCCATTTAAAATGTTTAAATTATAAAAACCCCTAAATAATAATCTTGGAAAGCTTGATAGGTGCCTTTTAGTTCATATCCAGTTTATTTGTTATTGGTAATATGAATGTAACAAGCAAATGAATTCAGTAAATTTCCTCTGCTTGTTAAAATTATCCATGATCACATACTTATGTTAGACAGCTTTTCTTTTTATAATGAATATTGAATTCTACAATGTTTTAGTCTTTCTTTTTACAGGGATTAGAGACATGAATATTTTTCTTATACAAAGTTAAGGATTTTCTACAATATTTTCCTTCCACTAAGAGCTAAATTAATTAAACAAAAAAGTCTTTATAGTTGGACAGCTCCTTGTAGGCTGGACAGTTGGTGGACCAGAGAAATTACAATGTACATGTTCAGATACTATCTCGTTTGAAAGGCTCTGTTTTACATAGTCTCTTCAGTCACTTAATACTAGGCTATTCTGGTTTATTCTCTAAGATTTACTATGTTCTAATGCATTTTCATTTATTTTTTTTCTGGTATAATTTTATCAGTCATCATCATGACTGGACACTGTCACTATGATAAACTGTTTTATTTCTTTTTTCTTATCACCTGAAATTATAGAATGTACCACTAGCAATCAAGAAGATTGCTCAAAAAACACATGTAAATATCAAGGATAAAAGAAAAATGAATACTACATAATTTGAGCATCATAAGCCAGTCTGATGACTCCAAATATATGTTTGTGTTTGTGTAACTGAATCTTAAAATGAAAATGAATTTCTACCTAAACACTTTCCAATACATGATCCTAACATTTTCAAGCTCCAATGCAGAAACCATATACATCAGAGAGCATGAAGACTAAGAAACAGAAAAGTCAGATATAGAGAATATGCAAACAAGTTATAAATTTAGGAAGTAGCATTCAGTTATATCTTTGACTTTCCATTGTTCTTACCCACTCAAAATTCTGGGGATATACTCTGCAAGTGCAAAATTCCAAATGGAGCTTTGTTTTACTTTACCCCAAATTAGTGCTGATGTCCAATATTTGTCTCATAAATGTCATTTACAAGTTTTAAGGATACAGTCAATTACCACGGCTTCTGTAAGTAGTTTCTAATCCTGCCAAACTATAACTCCACTGTAGCAGTGTCTTCAATAGACTTTGGGAGATATGGTTTAATTCATATCTTTTTCCCACTAAATTTTAAGGTCCTTCATATGAGTGTATACTTTATTGATATTGGCAGCCTGATGCCAAAGAAGATAACTTGTATATAAATTTCCCTAAAAATGAAATGCAATATACTTATGTGGGGATGGTGTAGGTTGAGAACCCACAAGGGGGGACTGTTTGCCTAAAGGATTCTCCACATCTCGCCCAGTGAGCATGCTGCACACTAGCTCTGCCACTTTTGATAAGATAACTACATTCCATAAGATTCTCTGTACCACCTATAAATTCATATATCTGGTACCTCCCACTTAGAGTTTTCACAGTAATTACATGATTAACATAGAGAGAGCTAAAGTATTTCATATATTACAGATGTTATTGCTAATATTGTAATAGTTACATTGTATGAAAATCAATTTAGTTAGAATATTGAACAAACATAGTCATATATAACTGTTAGCTGCTTTCTTCTAAACCCTACTCAGTTTGCTCATTTCATCATTGCTACACAACAAATCGCCACAAGTGTAGTGACTTAACACATCTTTTTGCTCTCTCATTGATCTTCACATCAGAAGTTGTAGCAAGGCTTACTAGCACTCTCTTCTCTGGTTTTCACAAGGCTGCACTGATGTGTCAGCAAGGATTTGGGGTTCATCTGAAATTCAGAGTCCTCTTTCAACCTTACTTATTAATGGAAGAATTCAGCTACTGAATTCTGCAACTGTAGAAGTCATAGAAGCTGTGTATTTAAAGGCAGATGGAGAGTATCTTCCTAAATTTTTACTTTTCTTAAAGTCTTTCTTGGCTATTTTAACTCCAACATAGGATAAATTTTCAGTTTATTGACTCAAAGTTCACTAGTTAATAATCTGAGAATCATGTCCCATGATATCAACAGGTGAGTCCATATTTAAGGCTAAGGGATTGTACAGAACATGCTGTAAATCAAAGGGTGAAAATTTTGTGGACCAGTAAGATTGTTAAAATCTTGCTTATGATAGTTAGCATAAGGACAAATTAGAAGATGTACGTTTGTATTAATATATTATAGCAATATGCCCATGTACATGTGGTTCTGGCATCTACCTTGTAATATTCAAGTGAAAGATTATGAACATCCAAATGGAATGTTTGTATATGAACAAGTTGTATCTCTGGCACTAATAAACAAAAACTTGAGTATAATAAAACAATTATTTCATTACTTCAAAACTTTGTAAATATTATTAACATTAGTATATATAACTATTATGTATCCTCAGGATAAAGAGGAACTAATGTTCTATATTTTTAGTTTGTGAGGAAAGATCATTTTGTTAAGAAAAACAGTGTTGTGAAGAGAAAAATAAAAAGCTTAATTTGGTTGAGAAAAGTTTTAGTATTTGAGTGGTCTTTGGGAGCCACAAATGGAACAATCGATAAACAAGGGTGTTTCACAAATTAAATAAAGGGAAAAAAGTAGAAGAAGAGAGAATGAGAGACAGAATATGGGTAAAAAGTACCCCATTCAATTCTCTTCACTTGCAACAGTTTTTGGTGATATTGACAAAGACAGAGAGGAGGTTGAAGGTCCAGCTCAGTGGTAAAGCTCTTGCCTGGCATGTACGAAACCTTGGGATTATTTGCCAGACTCCCCCCCGCCAAACACAAACACTACACAGAAAAATGAACATCAAGAAAATGACCCCAAATCAAAACTGTAACCTATGTACCTATAAATACAATTACAAAGTAATCTGGAATCTCTTATAAATAAATAAGAAATTTAACATATTCATGAATGTGCAAGACTCAATCTTTTTTTAAACATAAAAGTCTATTTCATTAAATTATTTCAAGATTGTTTTGAAATTTCAGAATCATCATACCTCCTCCAGCTACTTTTCATATACTTTGGAAGCAAACATGGAATCCTTGCTAATAAACAGCAGGCGCATTGGTTTTACATTGTTTCTTCTATGACACAAAGGCATAGATTTGAATCAAGTTTCACATTTTTGTTAGTATTTCTCAAGAGCAAAACTTTAAGAATCACACATATTCTTTAATTAGCTTTAACATGTAGTATATTAAACTTTTTATTCTTTGAGAATGTTTCCTGGAAAACTCTGAAGTAATGGTGAAAAATTATGCCCATATATATTTATAGTGATCTAATTCTACTCTTTTTTTTTTTTGGCACTGGGGATCGAACTCAGGCCCTTGCGGTTGCAAGGCAGGCAGTGAAACCACTGAGCTAAATCCCCGGCCCTCTAATTCTACTCTTAAATGCAAGAATATTTTGCATGGATGTGGGAGTCTATTAGAGGAGTTTAGATAAGAGTGAAAAGCCAACAAACTCAATAGATTTTTCTATGTTTTTACTTAATAATAGGCAAGGAGGACTTTTCTAGAATTTTTTCTTGGGGATTCAAAATTTAAGCTAATATCCCTGGAACATATGATATCAAAAAATGGAGACTATTGAAGGATATGTGAATGATAGAGAAATCATTCTTTGAGAAAGGTATACCCATCTCTTTAGGATACTTTAGACATTTACTTATCTAAAAGGAAAAGCAGAGGATTGGACTGAATTTTTAAAGATAAGGGTCCGGCTGGGGATTTAGCTCAGTGGTTCTGCCACCTGCCTCACAAGCTCAAGGTCCCAAGTTCAATCCCTGGTACCAAAAATAAATAAATAAATAAATAATAAAAATAAAGATAAGGGTCATATTTATAGCAAAATTTCATGGATTTGTATATACAAAGATACATAACTATCTTTCTCTAGATGGAGATTTACTCAATAGAAATATTTCCAGAGAGTGAATCAAACTACCACTTTATGAATAACCCTACATACCTTATATTCCAATGAGTTTAAGAAAAGCTACCAGTGGACTCCAGAGTTAGAAGACTACATGAGACAAAATAATGTCTTTTCTCATGCAGGAAAATTATGTGACACCAATCATAAAGCATCCAATCACTAAAGATGGAAAAATCTGCCGGGAAATACTTGACTTGTTTAAACTTACATGCCTGCAGAGTTTTGGAAAATAGAAAACAAAAAACAGAAAGAAACTTTGACCATGAACATCTAGTTTGACCAATAAGTGAACCTTTTCATAAATCCAATATTATTGAGGGGCATGTGGCTATAGAAAGTGAATTCCTAATTTTAAAGTATAAATATCTTACCCCTGAGTAAGTTTTTGCATATGGATCTGTAAGAAGAATTTAGAAATATGTACAAGCTCTTGTGCAAGAGGCTCTGAACTTGATTATGTGACTCAACAGATACAATGAGGCTAACGGATTCTATTAGATAGATAACCTGTATAAGGTCACTGGAAAGCTACATTTGGAGAGTTTACAAACAGATGAGAGTGTTCTGTGGTAAAATTATGTCTTCAATAGCAGAGAACTAACTTTTGTGTGAAAAATAGATACTGATATGTAAAAGCCAGTCTACAATCTGAGGATATTTGGCTCTGATTACACAGCACCAGACATTAGCTGGTGACTATGCCTATCATCCAGGTATTGTCAAGTGACTGTGAACTTGTCAGTGACTATGACATTGTCAGTTTGCCAAATCATAACGTCAGACATAAGGTCAGGTGGACAGAGGCAAAATATACTATGCAGTGGAAATGAGACTTCCTAGAATGGACCTGAACAGATCAAGAGGGTGAATAATTTACATAAGAAGATGCGTCAGACTTTGTACTGATGACTCTTCCTCGGCTCATGAGTTTGGTCTCATGGTTGAAAGAAGTTTGGTTTACGGATGGACTGTCTTGATAAGTTAATGCTGAAAACATAAAACCACTGCAAGATAGAACAATAAAAAGTTTATTAGTTTCCTAGGACTCTTATGAGAAGGTATCACTGGCTGGGTGACTTAAAACACAATATAAAATAATTCTCTCAGAGCTCTGTAAGCTAGACTTTTAAAATCAAGTTATCAATAGGGCTGTGGTCCCTGTTGTTCCTAGACAAGAAGATTTCTTTGCTTCATCCTAGCCTCTGGTGGTTGTCAAAAATCCTTCACATTGGTTATCTTATAGATGCTTCTCTCCAATCTTTGCCCCAACTGTTGCACAATATTTTCCCTGTATGTGTCTCTATGTCCAAGTCTCCACCTCTTTTCCCTTGTAAAGAATAGTCACCAAACTAAAGTCACATTCAAAGGTCAAAAAAACTACAATGTCAACATGTAATTTTGAAGCACACAACACACAGGAGTGATATTAAAGGGCTGTGATGAGGGGATCAACACAATGGCAGGCATATACTTGTTTAGTCTCTTGCCATTAAAAAAAAAAAACTGACCTGAGGTCAAGAAACAGAGTGTCTTGGAGAATTAATGAGGGACCTGGAAAAAGTGAGATCAGGGTTTTTGTATCCAAGAGTCCTGAAGAAGGGACCACAGATAGATTTTCAAGTGCTGTGATTCTTTATGTCTTGAAGGAATACACTACACTTTATAAACCATTTTCTCACCACTGAGACACAATTCTCAGCACTCACACCCTGAAGTAGGAAAGGTGTATTTTGACTCACAGTTTGTAGAGGTTTCATACCATAGTCAGCTGGCTCCAAGGCAGGATGACATGGCAGAGGAGTATGGTGCAGAGGGAAAATACTTACGGCATTGCTGGAAGGAAGCAGAGAGAAGGATCAAGAGAGGAAGGAGGGAAATATACCCTTCCAGGTCACACCCCCAGTGAACTAGCTCCTCTGACCAAGTTTTACTTCCAAACATCACATTTATCTATAAACTCATCAGTGAACTAATCCATTGATAAGTATCACACCCTCCTTATCCAATCACTTCCCAAAAGCCCCACCTATGAGTGCATGAGGTTTTGAGGAGACATCTAGATGTAAACCTTATGCCCTTGCCCCTAAAAAGACTCATGTGCATCCCTTTATGCAAAATGTTTAGTCCATTCAAAGAGTTGCCAAAGACCTAATAGTTTCAGTATTGCCGAAAAGTCCAGAGTCTCCTCTGAGATTTAATATAAACTCTTAACTGTGAGCCTCTGTAAAAATGTAAACAAAGTTGAGCACTGCTGACATACAAAGGCATAGGGTCAACTTTCCCATTCCAAAAGGAAGAAATAAGGGCATATAGAGGAATGGGACCAAAGAAAGACCTAAATCAAAAAGGCAAATATTAAATACCATAGTTCTATATCTAGCACCTGGAACAGACTGCAGTGAGATGTGAACTCCAAAGAGTTGTGTGGCCCCACTCCTAAAACACTATCAATGGTTTTAGCCTCAGGGACTCTCTCCTATGCTTATTTTTCTCACTCCTTGTGGCTTTCCTCAGATGTTCCAGCTTCCTGGCTTTACTAACATCTTAGGGTCTCCTCTGCACTTTTGGCTTCACTCTCACAGCTTCACACATTACTCTCTCTGACACTGAGTAGCCTCCCAGATCTTCTGAAATCTGGGTAGTCACCTTCCTGACTCCACAACTGTTGCTTTCTACATGCACTTCAAACCAGCAACATGTGAATGACACCAAGGTCTGCCATGAGCTACAGCGGTAGCTGATCTTTGCTGCATCTTGCCAGTGATTGCAGAGGTCTCCAAGTCCCTGGATGGCTGAACATGGTGAACTGAATCTTGGGGAAACAATTCTCATCCCCTAAGCTGCTGTTATTTGGAGCATGGTGATCCACAGCTGTCTTCTCTATGAAAAGGCTTTCACATTTGCAATTTTGATTCTGCAGAGGGTAGAGCCTTGCTAGCTCCTCACTTTCCCTCAAAGAATTTTTCCTACCATTTTATTCCAAAGTACTTGGCTTCTTTTAAATGTTACTCTTTTCAGCAACAAAATTCTTCTCTGCTCAAATTTTGCAAAACCCAACATTACCAGAGCATCCATTCTGGCCTAACTCAAAACTTTTTAAATCATTCTGTTGGGTTGTTTACTCTTTTTTTTTTTTTTTTTGTACTGGGGATCAATCTCAGGTCCTTTTGCTTGAGGGGCAGGCAGTGGAATCACTGAGCTAAATCCCCAGTGCTGGGCTGTTTACTCTTGATTCACTGTGTAGAGCTGGCTAAGAGCCCCCAGCAGTACCCAAGTCACAGCCTGAATGTTTGGCTGCCTTTCAAGTTCCTCCACCAGATTAGTTTGCCACCCTTAATCTCAGTTCCCCAAAAGACTCTAGACATGAACAAAATTCTGACAAATTTTCTGCCAGACCATAGCACACAAAGCCTTGAGTCCAATTCCCAAAGGAGTCTGTCTTCCCAAATGAAACTTCTTGGCCTTTCTTGGCACTCTATTCTCAAAACTCTGGTCTTCTGTGCTCTGACCAGACCCTCCCATCAAGCCCAACTCACTGCATTCTAGGGCTGCTTCTCCAGTCTATACCTCCTAACCTTTCCAAACTCCTCCCACAAGCTAGTTCCAAAGACTTCTGAACCACATGTTCAAGTAAGGTCACAACAATGACCCCTCTCCTGGTACCAAAATCTGTCTTTTCATCATAGAGACAAAATACACAATACTCACAATTTAAAAGAGAAAAAGGTTATTTTGACTTAGAGTTTGTACACATTTCAGTCCATTATTGGGTGGCTTCAAGTCAGGGTGGCATAGAAGAGGAGCATGGTAGAGGGGATTTGTTCATGGTATGGCAGGCAGGAATCAGATAGAGGAATCAAGGAAAGAAGGAGGGAGATATACTTTTCAGACCACATCCTCAGTGGCCCTCCTCCTCCGACCAGGCTTTGCCTCCCCAATCACAATTAGTTATAAACTCATCATTTGACTAATCTACTGATAAGTAACATACCATTATTACCCAAATCACCTCTGAAAAGCCTCACCTGTGAGCACCTGAGGGTTTGGAGGCAATATCTACATATAAAGCATAACATGGTCACACTCTTTGAAGCTCAGGAGAATTGGTGTAAACACCCTACAGAAACTTGATCAAATGAGGTGGGAGTTGATGAACCATTGTTTTGATTGGACGATCCTAGAAGATTTGCTGTATGTTTCTTACCAGCACCCTTTGTTCATCACAGTGAATTAATAATGCACCCTGGTATTGGTTTTGTCTCACTTTCTCTGGTTCTTCCCTCCTGATAATGCATATCAGCCTACAAACTATCTGCATTCTAGTCCTTGCTTCAACTCTTCTTTTTAAGAAGCTCACTTTAACACAATAATTTTTATTCATCTGCTTCCATTTGGTGTAGTTTGAATCATTAGGGAAGTTGAGGGCATAACTCAGTGGTTGAGTACTTGTCTAGCATGTGCAAAGTCCTGAGATCTGTCCCCACTGCTGCAAAAAGAAGTAAATAAAGTGATCCTATATTTATTTATAATTTTTGCTCATTACAGGATCAATATCAATTCAATAAGGCAAAGAGCTACCTATGTTTTACTTGAAGTCCTGAAAGATTGATAAGTTGTTCTTTATCATACATTGGTAATCACTTGACTGATGAAATTCCATTATTAAAAAGAAGGTTTTAAAGCCTATTTTTTATTCTGTTTCATGAAAAGACAGCCATGAAGATCAGGTAAACTGTAACTCTGATTAGGTTTGCAGATAACTGAAGAGAAACATGAACAATACCCTAATTATTATTTGTAGAGATCTCTTTACTTGCTCATTTGCACATTCAAATTACTAATATTTTAATTATTTATGCTGAAAATACAACAATGAACAATATCAAATCTGTAAATTCTTAAATTTTAAATTCTAGGTGGTAAATAGGAAAAAAATAATAGACAAATGATATGTCATTGTGTACTTTGTATAAAGAATAAAATGATTAGTAAGACAAAAGAAAATAAAAGGGATAAAGAATAAAATGGGTTGACATTTAGATATAGGGAGAGTAAAAGGAATACCAAGTCAACTGCACCTGCAATATTGTCCTGAGGAGCACCCTGAGGGAAGCTTCCCCGCTGCCATTCCAAGCTCCTAGGGCAGAGAAGGTGAGCCGATCCCAGCACCAAGAAGGAAGCTCCCCCACTGCCATCCAGGCTCCTAGGGCAGAGAAGGGGAGCCGCACAGGTGCCAGAAGCACCCCCCCACCCCCAGGGAAATGAGAAGACATGTAAACAAGCCTCAAAAACAGACTTCTGGATCACCTACAGCAACCCCAAAGGGAAACAAGATGGAACAAGCTGATACTCAACCACCTGGACTCTCTGAACTGGCAACAAAAGAGGATCTGGGAAAAATGAAATAAAAAATAATTACTCAGATAACAGCAAAGATTTTGCTCATGGTGCAAGGCATGATTAGTAAATCTAGAGAGGACACAGATAAACAAATAGAAGATCTGAGGAACATGATGGAATACCAACATAAGAAACAAATGAAGTCCATAAAACAGATACAAATAGATTTTGAGGAGATGAAAAACTCCATCAAAAGTCTGTGCAGCAGAATGAACCAATGGGAGGATAGAATGTCAGATATAGAAGAAAAGATTGCAATTAGTGACAGGAAAAGAAAAATTGCTTTAAAATTGTAAAGGAACATGAGAAATCGATCCAGAAGCTGCTAGGTGATTCAAAGAAGAATAACATAAGACTGATTGGAGTCAATGAAGAAAGAGGAGAGAGTGCAGATGACATAAAAAAAAAACTGTTCACAGAAGT